GGGAATATCATGATTGAAAATACTTTATACTTATAAATTGATAAGAAAAGGCCAACGTCTCAAAGGATTTATTGCAGTCAAATAAGATTTGCCTGTGATGTAGGTTCGGACATTCAACTTTTTGTCTTCAGGTTCTTGAGTTCACAATTGAGATTCAAAATTACTTTTTTTCCCATTATTTAAATTTTATATTTATGTCAAATATAAATTATGTATTTGATGTCTTCAAAATAAAACTATATGGCTCTCTCTCTCTAAACAGAATATATATATCTATAAATACTATATATATATATATATCTATATATATATATATATATATATATATATATATATATGTACTATATTAAGTTTATATATATATATATCTATATATATATTTGTATATATATATATATCTAAGTTTTACTAATTGATATATCTCATATAATATTCTGTATATATATATATATAATTTATCAATATATCTGAGAAGGTATATTATACATTGAATATTATATCATATATCCTATATATCAGTATAATAGGAGAATACTGAACTATATATATATCTATATATATTTGGCATAATATCTAAAAACAATCTTGCTATGATATATAATTTAATGGTGATATACCTATTCATTTATGAATAATATATATATATATATATATATATATATATATATCTATCTATCTCTCTATATCTCATCTATCTATCTATATATCTAACAAAATCAAAAAAATAAATATATATAATAGCTAAAATAATATATATCTGTCACATCACCAATCAATGTTGTTTATATTTATATATATATATATTTATTTATTTTTTATTTTTTTTTTTCTAAAAACAAAATTTGGATTACTATATATATATATATATTATATATATATTGTGTATATATATATATATATATATATATATATATATATGTATGTTATATATATATGCATGTTCTAAAACGACTACAGTTGAGTTTTTTTATTTATTTAATTTTTCTTGTGTTCTGACAAGAGCTTTCTTTTCTGGACAAAGAGTGTGTAAGAACTGTCCGAATGTTCTGTGTTTCCAGGCGCTTTCGGCTATACCTTTAGCCATTATCAAGGATGGTTCAATTATCAGCTTAGTAGAGTGTGTGTTTCTATGTATGTTCAGTGTGTGGTAGTGATATTTTAGTTTCCGGAATACGGTTAGCACATTGTGGCTTTGTTCATAATTGATATTGTTAAGAGTTGGCTTTTTCTTTTTTATTATTAGAGCTTCCATTATTTTTAGTCTTTTTTTGCAAGTGGATGCAGTTAATATATTAGTGTTTTCTACTAGTATGTTCCTAATAGTGTCGGGTAAATCTGAGTGTGTGTTTAAATGTGTTCTGATGGAACTGTGATCAGATAGGTGTAATGTAAGACGTCTGGATAAACATGTGGTTGTGTAGCCGATGTAATTATTTATGAGTCCGGTTTGGTGAGGAACGCAGTTCTTAAAGGGCATTTGAACTCATAGATAATGTTCGCTCTTTGTAATTTTGACTTCGTTGGTGTGTTGTTATTTTTGAGGATAAGGTTGGCCGTCTTTAAATTTTTATAATAGATAATAAGTTTGATTTTTTTTTTTATCCGGGTCAATAGGAGTAGTATATTTCTTTATAATATGTCTTAGAGCAGATTCATCTTGCTTGTAATTAATATGCATTTGGTTTTTATAATAAATGTGTATGTGATTTTTTAGTTGTGTGTTCGCTATCATTATTACTTGCTTTGGGGAGGAATATTCTAATTTGTTGGTCTATAAGGTAGTTAGGGAAACCGTTGTTAATTAGTGTTTGTTTAACGTTGTTAAGTTCTTTGAGAAAGAGTAGTCGAGAGGATGAGTTCTGGTGGGCTCTATTTAGAAAGTTTTTTATTACAGCTATTTTGTACCTAAGTGGAAATTCGCTTTTAAAATTAAGGTGGCACGAGTTTTTTGCTGGTGGGTTTTTGTATAATGATGTAATGAAAGTGTTATTGTTATGTTCAACGAGGATATCTAAGAATGGTAGTTTGTTTTTTTGGCTAAGTTCATATGTAAAATTAAGGACAGAGTTTTTCTCAAATGTGGTCTTAAATGTCTCTATTTCTTTAATGTTATCAGCTAAAATGAATATATCATCTACGAGCGAACATAGATTTTCGGTTTGTGGACCTGTGTAAATATGGTATTTTCTACGTAGGACATATAATAGTTAGAGAAGCATGGACCCAATGGATTTCCCATACTAACACCATTAGTTTGGGTATAAATATTGCCATTATGGTCATAGAAGGGGACTTTGGTTGTGCATGCGTGTAGTAATTTTTTTTAGGATAGGTGGTTTGATGGATGGCGGAGGGATGGAATTATTATTGTATATAAAGTTGAGGATAATATCGATAGTTTTGTCAACAGGGACGTTTGTGAATAAGTTTTCAACATCCAGTGACGCTATTATACCTTGATGTGTTCCATTTGTAGTTTTTAAAATTTGTAGGAATTCGTGGGTGGAGGTGATGCTGTAATTGGTAGGTAGGTATGGAGTGGTGATATCGTTAAGGAATTTTGATAGCTCGTAGATAGGTGTTGGTATCTGGGAAATAATTGGTCGTAGCGGGTATCCTGGTTTGTGTTTTTATGTTTCCATATAGGTATCCCGGTTGGTAATCTCCAACACTGAACATACATAGAACACACACTCTACTAAGCTGATAATTGAACCATCCTTGATAATGGCTAAAGGTATAGCCGAAAGCGCTCGGAAACACAGAACATTCGGACAGTTCTTACACACTCTTTGTCCAGAAAAGAAAGCTCTTGTCAGAACACATGAAAAATTAAATTAAAAAGCTCAACTGTAGTACCTTGTCTGTCGTTTTTAATGAAACATGCATAAAGGAAGGATTGCTGCCTAATTATACAAATATCTATATATATATATATATCTTTTATATATATATATATATATATATATATATATATATATATATATGTGTGTGTGTTTCTATATAAATTGAATACAAGATATTTAGACATAAAAAGAAAAGCTTATATATGAGATATATGTATAAAAAAAATATTATTCCTATTTGTTACTTACATTATTCAAACTGTTATACTAATCTTTATTGCCATATTCACATCGTTTCAGCCGTTGTATGCTATGACCTTCTACAGGTGGTTGTAATTTTGAACTGAACACTTTTTCACGCACTGAGTTCTAGTTCTACATGCCATACCTCTTCTAGCTGTTTCTGTTATGTCCCTTTAATTCAACTCTCTAAGATTTGCTTCACCACAGCTGTGGCCTGGTATTGAACTCATTTCTCTTTGGGTCTAGTCACTGAATCTAACCAATGTCTTTATCCACTGGTCCATGTTGTAAATATGGCAATGAAAATGAGGATAACAGTCCAAATAATGCAAGTAATCATAATAATTCATCTCAGATATAGACAGATATTCATATTTATCTTTCACACACATACATAAATACACACACACACACACACACACACACGTATGTGTGTCTTTTATTGAATGTGATAGACAAGGAAAAGTTAATTTTTTATTTACTTTTTCCAACATTTAGGAAAGTTGGTTTCTCTGTGTCATGACAGAAGGTTTTTCTCAAGTGCGTCCTACACATCTACAAATCTGCCATTCATCCATGCATTGAATACTGTTGCCATATCTGGTCTGATGCCCCTGCAGTTCATCTCTACATCCTCAACAAAATCCAAAGTATCTGCAATGTAGTCAGTCCTGACCTGGCATCTCAACTCCAGTCATTTTCTCACAGATGTAACATGGCTTATCCTCTGTCTTTTCTGCAAATATTTTCATGGCAACTGTTGTTCTTCTTCTTGTAACGGCATTCACCCGAGGTGGGTTGAGCCGGCTCCAATATTGGAGTTTCATGGGAATTTGGAATTCACAAGCGGTCCCGAACCCACATGGATAGCACATGAGATTTGATTATAGTGGTGAAGGTTTCGTGCAGGACCATCCACACTTTTTGAAGGGCCGAATACAGAGACCTGGTGCACTAAGTGCCCTGGTTCCCAAACGACCCTCCGCAGGGTTTTGAATTCAGAGTTGTCCTTCTCTAGACCAGTTGCCATACAAGGCTATAGAACCCAGTCTGTCCTGCTATTTACCCATAACTGGAGGGAGAAGAAGAGGATTTGCACTTTTCCCAAGGGTATTAGAACATAAGTGAATGTAATGGATTCGACTGGAATTCGAACTCGGCTCTCCAATTCCTCAATCCAAGCCGCTATCCATTACTCCACCATGACTCCTTATGGCAACTGCTCTGATGAGCTATTTTCACTTGTGCCCCGACTGCATGAATTTAAGCATGCTAATAGGTTGGCATCTAGATCCTGCCCCTTTACTGTTGAAACAGTTAAATGTAACCACATTTTCCACTCCAACATCTTCTTCTCTCGCACTTCCTGACAATGAAACTCCCTTCCTCTTGCTTCCCTAATAATTATAATCTCCAAAAATTTAAATAAATTGTCAATCATCATCTGATGCCTTGATTCCCGTTCTTTTATCTTTTCCTCATTTCCCCCCCTATACTCAGTCTTTTCTCTTTCACTTTCCTCCCTGTAACCCCCCCGTACTAGTGGCCTTGCTTGTGGCAAAATACTAAAAAAAAAAAACATTTTTATATTTTTCCATTTGGTGGGAGTAAGGAAGTGTAAAAATAATTTGTATTGTTCATTGTCCCAAGCACTTTTGGTCACTTTAGCCATTTTCATGGGGGGTTGGTTTTTTGATGTTGTTAATTTCTCTTTGTGTTTGACAGTTTAAGATGTAGTTTCGTTTTTTTTTTTTTATACTAGTCAGAATGTTTATTCATGGCTGGAATTTACATAGGTGAATGTCTATTGTTTATAGGCAAGGTTGATAGATATCCTCTAACACATACTAGCATTTTAGTGGCCTTATTGCCTTGCTTGGGGTGAAATGATTAAAAAAATATGTATATAAGAGAGAGATAGAGGATTTATATGGTGACACTGCTCAACAAAAATATCTAAATCCTCTCTCTCACTCTCTCACTCTCCTCTTCCTCCTCTCTCTCTCTCTCTCCTCTCTCTCACTCTCTCACTCTCTCTCCTCACTCACTCCTCCTCCTCCTCCCTCCTCCCTCCTCACTCCACTCTCTCACTCCTCCCACTCCCTCACCACTCACTCTCTCTCACTCACTCTCTCTCTCTCCACCACTCACTCTCTCCTCCTCCTCTCACTCACTCCCCACTCACCACTCTCCTCTCCTCTCACTCACTCCTCCTCCTCCTCCCACTCACTCCTCCACCACCTCACTCCTCCACCACTCTCTCTCTCTCTCTCTCTCATCCCAAAAGTTGTATCAGGAAATATTAATTGAAAAGACTCTGCTCACAGTAATTTTTCAATTAATATTTCCTGATACAACTTCCTGGGATTTTCTTGGCTTTGGCTGAAGAAAATGGAAAGTCTGCATCATTTCTCATGAATGCTCTATTTTTGGAGTGGTGGGGCTTCTTTTGAGAAAGATTTTCAGTGGTCATGGTTCAAGTTTTGACACTAGGCCAATAAAAAGTTCTAACTTAAAAGCAATAATAATAATCAGTTTTGTTAGAATTGAGAAACATGAAAGAGAAGAATAAGTGATTTCTCAAGTCAAATGGATATAATGTTGATTTAATGATATTATGCTGTTGGAAACAAAATGAAAAAAATCATTAAAATATGAAGTATTAACCTGAAAATTAAATGAAAGAATAAAAACAGTTTAAATGAGAATTAGTCTGATTATTTATCAATTCATTTTCTGTTTTATTTTAACTCCATGTTTGTATGCTTAAATGGAAAGAATAATTTTGTTAAAAAATAGAAATAAAAATATTTCTTTCTCTTGACACCATGAGACATCTAAAAAAATTAACTTTCCGTATTTGATACAGAAGGAAAAGTTAATTCATTTGTTTTTTGTTCTTATTTATATCTCTTTAAGTTAAATGTCTTCTTTAATTATTGAGCTTGTCTCGTGATGTTTAAAGTTTGGAGAGGTTTAATTTTTCTGAATATTTTACATTCAGTATTATTTTCTGTTTTAACAACTTTTAAGCAGTTCTCTGAGTCTTTAACTGATACCTAACATGATTAAATTTGCATATTAATTAGCATATTAATTTACCCAAGGAAACGTAAAATGATTTCAAATTACTTTCTCTAAAATTAAAAGCCACTGAATTAGCAATTTGATACTTAGTTTCAAAGATGAGAAATAATTATTTGAAGGTTTTTTTTTTTTTAGAAAAAAATGTTGAATATTGAAATATGCCTTTTCTTCTTTCTACATACATATACACACACATATATATATATATATATATATATATATATATATATATATATATATATATATATATATATCGTGTATTGGGCAGCAATCCCTCTTTTATATATGTTTCATTAAAGATGACTGACAAGGTACTGTGGTTAAGCTCATTGTGGCCATGTTCATAGTCAATGTTTATGAGTTTTGGCTTTTTCTTTTTTATCATTAGAGCTTCCTTTCTTTTCGATCTTTTTTTTTTTTTGCATGTGGATTAGGCTATTATACTTGAATTTTCTACTAGTATTTTTCAGTTGGATTTTTGTAGGCTTTTGTGGGTCTTTAATTGAACCCTAATTGAGCTATGGTTGGGTAGGTGTAATGTGAGTTGTCTAGATAGATATGTATCAATATGACCAATATAATCATTCCTGCATTAAAAAAAACAGATTCAATGAAAAATTTTAAAAAATCAAAATGATTCTTGATAATGGCTAAAAGAATAGCCATTTTTATAATGGTTTAATGAGCTTCATGTGGATATGTGAAAATCAGGCATCAGAAAAAATCCCCTATTGAAACCAAATATTTCAATAAGGGATTTGGTATGCTTGTGCATTTTGCATTCTAGACACGTTTAAACCCAACTTTGAATGTCTGATTTCATTTCAGGCCACACAAAATGATCTGAAATGAGTTTAGTCATGTAGATGTCTAAACACATGCTTCTTGAACATGGAAGGGATGTACAGTATAGATGTGTTTAATGTAACATCGCAAAAAATAGTTTTGAAGAGTGAGGGAAGCTCTTGAAAGTTCAGAAAGGATCTGTGATGACATTTTGTAATGTAGAGTTGGATTTTTGCTCATCAACTATTAAATCCTGACTCAGGATGTCATCCTTGATGGTATTGATTCTTGTTCAAGATAATGTGTCAGCAGCAGCATTGTCCTCCCTTTTTATGTGTCTCAGGTCTTTCAAAACTAGATGTAATTGGGGTGTCTAATCTGAGTTATTATTCATTGTGATCATCAAAAGTTTGTGGTCAGTGAAAATTGAGAAGTTCTGACCTTCCAGCAGGTAGAGAAAATTTAGTAAATATCTGTTAAAACAAAATACCATTTTTATTTTTATGTAATTTAGACAATAATTTATTCATTGCTCCCTGTATATAAAGGATTAATATATATTTTGGCAGCAACCTTTCTTTTAAACATATTTAGTTAAATATGACAGATAAGGAAAATTTGATCAATTTTCTATTTAGTTTTTTCCAGCATTCTTACATTTTTCCGTTTGGTTGGAGTGAGGGTGTACAAAAACTCTACATATCGTCTATTGTCCCAAGTGCTTTTGGCCACTCCCCCTAATTATTTTCAAGGGGGTTTTGTTTTTGATGTTAATTTCTTTTCATATTTTGATGATGTAACATGTATTACTTGTGTGGTTTTGAATTCTAGTGAGTGTTAATTCTGAGTCATCGCATGTTGAGCATAACAAGAATTCAAGTGAACAACTTTCTATTTTAAAAAAACTTTTAAGCACATTACTCCCATTCTTAAATAAGGTAAGGTCGAAGAGAGATGTGTGATGTACATGGACTGTCTTATGAGATCGTTTTTGGTAATTTCATTTAAAAGAACTCATGTTTTTCTTGTGTGTGATAAATGTGCATATGCATTTTTTTTTTTGCTTGAAGACTGACAAGATACTGCGATTAAGCTTTTCATCTAATTTTTCCTGTGTTTGTATAAGTGTTTTCTTTTCTGGACATAAAATGGGAAATATTGTCCAAATGGGCTGCATATCTGAATGCTTTCAGCTATCCTCTTAGACATTATCAAGGATGATTTTTATTTTTAACTGAATGGATGGATTTTTATGTATGTATCTTGAGTTATATTTTATTTATTTTTTATTTTCCAAACATGGTCAGCACATTGTGGCCATGTTCATAGCTGATGTTATTGAGTGCTGTCTTTTTCTTTTCTATCATTTGTTTGCTGAAAGTCTTATTATGCAAGGCTCATATAGTTTGTTTTAGATTTTTGAACGTTCATTGATGTCCATCATTTTGTAATTTCTATTTTTTTATTCAGTTCAGACATTCATGAGCCTATCATTCCGAACGTCATTGGGGTGTCATTCTGTCTTATAACTGGTCAATGTATGGGATTCCTGGGCAACCAGCCCATCTTGCGCCATGCTTATTTGCAGATAACTTGCAATTCTTGTTTTCTTTGTTTAAGATTGTAGAAATATCAGGGATGGGCCCATAGAACTGTAATTTAGTTGGATATTGTCACTAAGAGATGCTAAGTATAGGTCTCAGAATCCAAGCATAGGTTCCATCAAGCCTAGACTCTAGAGTTTTAGTTAATCTTTAAGGCTAAGAAGAATATCTGTTTTGTGTGGTAGATCAGATTTCCAGATCACATACATTTTATAAAAGGCAGCCCAGGAATTATCTATACAGATTTTCAAATCCTTTTCAGTAGAATTTATTATTAAATATTAATATATATATGTATGTGTGTATTTATGTAAATATTAACATGTATTTATATGTATTTTATGTAAATATTAATGATATATATGTGCATATATACAGGGTGTCCATAAAGTTCATGTGCACTTTAAAAAATTTGTAATTTTATTTGTATTTGGGATAGAAATATGTAAAAAGGATTAGAATGAAGTAAATGTATATTTCTTAAGGTTGTATTGAAATTTTATTCAAGTTTCCACATGTCCTCCATCATTAGCAATACAAAGGGTAATACGATTTTGTAGTTCATGTAAAACATTTGCCAACTGATTTACAGTAATGCCTGAAATCACATTAGTTATTTTAGCTTTACTTAAAACTAAGTATATTATACTTTATAACATTTTTTTACAGATTATTTCTATCGCAAATACAAGTAAAGTTATAAATTTTTTAAAGTGCACATGAACTTTATGGACACCATATATGTGTGTGTGTATATATATATATATATATATATATATATATATATATATATGGTATTATTGCCATGACAAACCCACTTCAAAAACCTGTTACTTTGTTGCTCATTTTAATTTTGCCAAAATGTTCTTTGACAAAGAGAATTGCTTTTGGAAACAAGTACTATGGAGTGATGAAACAAAAATTGAGCTTATTGAACATAATGATGTACAGAAGATTTGGTGCAAGAAGGGTGAGGCCTTCCTTCCAAAGGACTCAGTGGCAATATTAAAACATGGAGGCTGCCTAATGATGTTTTAGGATTGTTTTAGCTCAAGGGAGACTGCAGTATTAGTTACAATAAAAGGAATAATGAAATCTGCAGACTATATCAGAATTTTGGATGAAAATCTACAACTATCAGAGTAAAATCTTCATCTAGGTCGATGATAATGATCCCAAACATGTCTAAATTAGTGACTGCGTGGCGTCAGAAAAAAACGATTACAGTTCTGTTATGGCCTTCAGTGAGTCCTGACTTAAATCCTATTGAAAATCCTGGCAAGAATTGAAAGTTTGAATAAATCAATGGTTATCAACAAACCTTCAGGAAGTAGAACATGCAACCATTGAAGAATGGAAGAAAATCCCAGAAAAGATTTGTTAAAATCTCATCAAAAACTTTAGAAAATGATTTCAGCAATTTATAAAGACGAGAGGCCAGGCTATTAATATTGTGAAAATTGTTTAATGGAGAAAGTCTTTCTATTTTTCATACTGTACGAATAATTTTTTCTTTCCTTATTTTGCAAAATTCACCTATTAAATTTGTTGTATTTAACCTAATATTCTGAAAATTGATTTTTATATTCATTTTTGGGATTATTAACATACAAGAAATCTGGCATCATACAGACATTAAATTCTGAAGAATGGATCAAAATATTCAAAATTGATGGGTGTATGAATAATTTCATTATTGACTATGTATATTATGTAAATATTAACATAATATGTATATAAATGATGGGACAGTCTTACATATATTAAATATGATATATATATATATATATATATATATATATATATATATAG